AAAAAAAAGAGTCAAGTTATTATTTTTTTATTGTTCTGTTTTTGTGGGCATAGTTGAAGCAAACACTTCTCTACAATTCCAAAGTATGGAAGAGAAAACAGTGCACTAAAATCTGTATGATATATAAAATATATGGCATATATACATACATATATATATATGTATGTATATATATGTATGTATATATACCATATATTTTATATATGTGTATTGTGCTTTATCTACTTCATATACACATAAATTAGAATGCCTGCCTCTATGACATGCAAGCACCTTGCTTGAAACAGTCCCCACACATCGAGAATATCATTAAATCTCAGTCTCACTTTCAACATACTCTTCCAATGAATGCTATTTCAGATGGAACTAGATAGTGCATGAAACTGCAGTGCCACTTGCTAGAACTTTCTCTTTTTTTCCCTCATTGAGTTTATTGGTACATTTTAGGTATACAGTACAGTTACATTCATCATTGGGATCTTGTACCTTTACATGACAGGTCTTGGTTCTCATTTTTTCCCCTTACCCCTGCCCTCCCTTCACCCTTGCTAGAACTTTCAAGTACCTTCCCAGGGCCGTATTCCGTAATGTTTCCTTTTTAAGTTGGTTTAATATTATAATCCTTATTCAGAAATGAGCTTTCGTGAAAAAGTCAAGAATTACCTTTGTCACTATTTATTTAATGAATCTATGGAAAGACTTCATTAAATTATAAATGGTTCATTATTGATATTCTCATAATAGATTTGTGAAACTATGGTGGGAGCCAGTTATTCATTTCAAGGAAGGTACAATACCAAGGGATCAGTGCATGTCCAGCGAATTGACTGCTGGTTTTGCTAATGCAATATTCATGAGAATTTGCCAAGACAATCACATTTAATCCCAGAGAATATGAATTGGAAATGAACACTTTTAAATTATAATTATCCACTGGCAAGAAAGTTTAGCAGGATTTATTGTTTATATAATTGAAATGACTTGCTATCCTGTCAACACGGGAGGGGTATGTTTTGAGAATATTTAAGGTTTCTGAATGGAATCATAAATACTGACCTTGTTAATATGCTTGATAGTAATATCTTGTACTTGATGCACATTTAAATTTTTTTCCTAGGGAAAATGTGACCCTTTGGATATCATTTATATTTATATTGCTTTTCTAGTTCCTGATGCAGTTTTGGGTGTGATGAACAATATCTTAATGGGAGTGGGGCCTGTGTTTTGGATCTACTTTGGTATTTGGACTTGAGTTTTGTTCTAGCTAATTCTATAAATTTTGGATCTATGTGATGTCCAAGATGAATGTTGAGACAACAGAGCAACATAGCCAAGAACAGATGGTCATCATTTAAAAGTCAGAAACTCTTTAAGGTTAACTGATCCTCATTTGTATTAATAGTTTATTTAATATGTTACAAGAAAGAAATCAAGTCCTATGAAATTTGGAGATTTCTGAACCCTGGGTAATAAGTACTTTATATTTCATGTAGCAGAAGGGTTTAAGAATAAGCTAAAAGGATTTATTCTGAGTTTGGGACTTTTTAAACTTTAGCATTATAAAATTTCTATTCACAGAACTTGAACTTCTTAATAATTAGAAGTCTGAGGAAAACAGACTATTGCAGCCTTCTGTAGGAAACTTCAAGAATGTTTTCCAGTCTCTTTCCTAGTGTAAGGAACACTTCTGTCTTAGAAGAAATCCCAAAACAATGGACAGCGCCAGAGTAACATAGATCTTCATGTACTTCCTGTGTTGCAAGAGCAGCTCCCTAGGATGCAGCAAAAATTTACACTTGTTGAAATATTTTTTCCTGACTCCTGTGAAGTTCAAGAAAGGTCTCAAAACTACTGTGGCCACCCTTGGTTTGTAAAAGAGGTTATCTGTTCATTTTTAGATATAAAAATGAACTTTTTTCATTTCCCTATACTAATATATTCTTATAACCTCAGTTAAGGCCTCTCCATTTTGCTCTTCCTTGGGCTACACTGGAGATCCCACTTGCACTAGGAGGAGCATGTGATTATTCTTTTCTACTGTTTCAGTGACTCTTGCTTCTCTTTCTCCTCCCTGAATCATTCAAAATGAGAAAGGAGAAATAAAGAGCTAAATGACTGTGCTTGAATAATTCTAGCTGGGCTTAGCCTGTGCACTTAACCATATCATTAGATTTCCCTGACCTGACTCTTTAGAGATGGGTTAATGCACCTCCTACAGATGGTCAGTTAGGATCCCTGCCTCACTCCCTGGGTATCCATGCTGCATGAACATGGGCTTTCTATTGTTTTATTGACCACCCCATCCTTGCCTTCAGTGGCTCTGCTAAACAGGGGACTGGACACAACACATTTCTGTGCTGGCTCTCTGATGTTTGACTGAGTAACCTCTGTGCCATGGCATGTCTTTGTTTTGCCATCAGAGCATCGGGCATCTTCCCCTGGAAGGTTTCTGAGATAGCCAAATCCCTAGTGTCTGATTACCACAAGCACTATTACCAAATTCCAGAAGACCACATCAGATTTTCTGAGATGTTTCATTGAGGTCCCGTTCCCATGCACTCAGGATAAAGGAAAAGTAACCTTCCTCCTTGGAGATATACGCACATCCCATCCCATCCTAACGCTCCTGTAACATCCTTGTATAACTATCAGTCTCCTCGTGGTCATTCCTCCCTTTTTGATGAACTAGAGTTGGTGTCCTAAATGCACTTTTAAGTCTGGCTTATGCAATTTTATGCTTCATTTTATAAAATGGAAAAACAATGTTTTTGACTGATTATCACATCGTTCCTAGATCTTAGCTAAAATAAAAGAATCTGTTTTAACATTTTATTATATTCACATATTAATTTGCTTATTATCCTTATAAAATTATTTTAAGCACATGGTGATTAACACATATTAATTTCAAAACAACTCAAGGCCCTGCAGTGCTTCTACTTTAGCAGGAGAGAGAAAACAGGTAGCCAAAAGCAGCTAGGTTTATGAAATATGCTGACTGCACCCATCAGAAATGATTGAGAGCACACACTCTGTAGCCAGACTGCCTGGATTTGAGTCACAGCTTTTTTTTTTTTTCTAGCTGTGCAGCCAGAGCTGGGTGTCTTGATCACTCTGCCTTTGTGACTTCATGTGTAATAGGGAAATAAAATAGTAGCTCTGTCACAGAACTGGTCTGAGGAATACCATCGTACTTACAACATCTTGAGAACACTATGTACCTGTTTGCTTGTTAGGAAACTCAAAGTGAACAATTTTAAGGGTTGCGTAGACCTGGTTTGTTGTTTACCTTGAACATTTTTCCCTACTGTCTTTCTCGTTATCTTTACTTTTTTAAAACATGACATTGTAAAACACTTCCATTGTAGAATGAATCGGGTGATAAACAAGAAATTTCTAGTTAAAAATGGAAATTTGTCTAAGGAGTTATGAAGATTTTTTTTTATTTTTAATAATTTTTACTTTAGATCTGTGAACATGCATTCTTTTCCTATTTTACCAGAATTCCTATTTGCTTGTGTTCTGTAAATTATATGTATATGTGTATGTCTATTAAGAGATCTGATAAGCTATGTTGCTTAAACAACATAGATAGTATCAAAGTAGAAATGTAATATTTTATAGTAACATGAGCCATCAAACCTGAAGCAAATCAACACCCACCCCCCAAAAAAAAACTAACTTCTTACAAGAAAGAGATGGTTTATGGACAGTGAGAATCACAGGGAAAAGGAAACTTTTAGGATTTGTGCATCAAGAGGATAAGGAGTAATATCACAAATAATATTTGAACACTTCCCCTCACTTAATGCAGCTTTGTAGGAGACTATTTTTATAAGACTTCAGTGTAAGTTGATGTCACCCACTTGCTGCTGAGTTCAGTGGTGAGAACCCAGCAAAGGGCCAAAATAATGTGGTCCTATTGTTCAGGTACCTAATACTCTGATTTAAAGTTTCTACAGGAAGAGATGAGCTGTAGGTCCGCTAAACCCCTCATCCTCTCTTGTCATTTCTGTTGGCTGAGGTTGATGGAAGGTGAGCTGCAGACAGTTTGAGGTTATGTACTCTGACAAGGGCCCTCAGACTGATATTCTGTGCCACTGATTAAGGTCAAATCCACATGCTTTAAAAATCAGCTTAGCGCCTGGTAGAGTTGATGGTCCTGCTGTTAGCGCTTCTCAGAAGCCGAGGATGTACGCACATGGTTTCCCTCCACTTTGTGTTATGACATTCTAGTGTTACCAGATGTAACTTTACACTTAGCATGTTTTATAATACTACTGTTCTTAATTGAGAGAAGTTAATTTTAGAGAACTATATCTCAGCTTCATCTTAGCTTCGATATAATCTAAAAGTGAAGAACTAAATTTTAGTTCGAATGCATCTCTATTAAGTAATGCAACCTTGACCAAGTCATCTTAGCTTCCTATGTCACAGTTTCATCATCTGTAAAGAAACTGAATAAGTTTTAGGCTGGTAAAACTGAATGGTTTTGTGAATAATGACCAAGAAATTACATTCATTAAATGCCTGTCTCTGTGCCCTATCACTGTTACAAGGGTTCTGTTTTGTGAGCATTTGTCAGTCCTCTGTAAGGACACTTCTTGCTTTGATTTAGCAGTTATTAAAAAGGGAGATTTCAAGTGTCATTTTTCTTGTGAAGAAAAGAGTGGATTAAAGAGTTACGCTGAAGGACATGAAAGGATGTTCTTTCATGCAAACAGCTATGTGCCTTCTCTCTGGCCACCTCTGGGAAAAAGGCAGCTCAATTCCCTTGAAAGTGTATCTTTTGAGGTATCTATTATCTATGAAAGAGTATCCGATTTACTCAAATGTCAAAAATCTTGCTTTTACTACACATGGCTTTTCAGAAGTAAAATTAGAGGAAAGCAGCTGTTTTCAATATATGTTCTTGAACAGTACCTCAAATGTAACTCTCATCAAATGCTGACTAATCAATTCAGTTGACTATAACACTTGTTTTTTCCCCTCTCCACTAGCACCAAGGAAAAATTGGAGTTAAGTTTAATGTTGGGACAGATGACATCGCCATTGAAGAGTCCAACGCAATCATTAATGATGGGAAATACCACGTAGTGCGTTTCACGAGGAGTGGTGGCAATGCCACATTACAAGTGGACAGCTGGCCAGTGATCGAGCGCTACCCAGCAGGTAAGTGTGAGAATTCATATCTGGGAAAGATTTTATGAAAAACAAACTAGAAAACAAAGCACTGTTTTGCGTCCGCCTCACCAAATTGTAGTTTTCGGAGAAACTATCAAGTATTTATTGGACTTTAGAGTCATGTGAAAGTAATGCTGTCCAAAACTGTTCTTGATAGCATGTACAAATGGCATTTTATAGGTGAATTTGAAGGCACACGTTATCGTTTGCAAAATTCAGGACATCAGTGAAAGCAGAAAAATGCACACATAAAAGGCGCGACATGTCAAAGCTCTTTTTACTGCATCCTTGCATTTGAACAAAGGAAAGGCTTTGTCAAAAGTAACAAAGTAAAAACTTAAAACTAAGACAGGAAATATTACAGCACTATTCTTTTTCTGAGAAAAAGTAAGATGGGAGTATTCCTTTGATGGCAGCACAGAGCTGAAACTCAGGAAAAGTGGGAAGTTAGCAGAAGATAAGTACAGAAATAGTCCAGAAACTGTAGTGCCAAACCATAGCAATGATGGAAACGGCAGCGTCAGAAACCAGCACTTATAATAATATTTGTGTTTAAAATTTTTGCTTCACCTTCATAAAATTGTGGAGTTTCACAAGGCTTCTGTGATGCCTAGTGTTATTCGCTTGCAATCTGCAAAATTAATGTCATGCCATTTTTGATAAAGTAAAAATTATCTTGTTCATCATTAATGAGCTTTTTTTCAGTACCGTTACTGAAACAAGGAGGTAGATTAGAAATTTAGACCAATGCTACTTACATTTACACATATTCTCAATTTAAAACTAAATATATTGATTAGGGTACAAATTTAAAATATCAAGATAATTGAAAGAAGTTATTCTCCCTGTTTTAGTGCAAAATCACTTCTTAAAAGTCTCAGTCTCATTTGTCTCTGTTCCCAACTATGTGTTTTTGTACAGTGTACAACTTATAGCGTGATTTAAGGAAAAAATAAAAAATAAATTTTCATCCTACACAATAAAAATAATAACCAGAACTATATATAATAAATTCTCTATTAGAATTATTTCTTAGAAGACATAACTTCATAAAATAACGAAGGTACCAAATAAGTATCAAGTTTCCATAGTACTGTCTCACTATTATGAAATGAAATAGCAGTGAATCTTCTCTGAACTTTTCTGATTTATGTGATTCCACATCTTCAAGCGCCAGGTTCAAAGTACTCTAGAAGAAGAGTGCTGAGTAAATATTCACTGAATGAAATGTAATAAAACTGCACTATGACAAAATTCAAAAGTGAACAAATTAATAATATGCCCTGTCTATTTAATGTTAGCAAAGAGTGAGCAGTTAATAAATATTTTCCAAAGTGGTGTCCCGGAAATTATAACAGTTTGACAAGTATGTGAAAACAGTGCTTCTGTCAGCATCCCCCAAAAGATGAAGGCATGGAAGATCTGAAATGAAAGTAACTTAAATATTCGTGCAGTACTACATAGCCTCTGCCAATAATCTCCAACACATTCACTGGATCCTTTTAAAAATTACCAACTAACCCCTCAGTGAAATTATAGAAAAATAAATTGATAAGTTTCCTAACATATGGATTAATCACATCCGTGTATACTGAAAGCAATTCGTTACACTGGATACTGTGAAAAACAAAGCAGTATAAAATCTAGGTTTTGCCCATAGGGTGTTGGCAGCTATGAAGAGCAGACTGAAGGTATAAAATGATACTATGACATGTGTTAGTTAGTTACTTCCTGAGGGCTACCTTTGTTTCTCAACAGTTCATTCTTTAAAATATCTTTATTTAAATGAAGATACTTTATTTAAGCACTCTTCCAACCCTTATCTTCCAGAATTCTGTTCTAGAGGTTATTAATGGTTACCACAAAGGAAAGGCATGCTTACATCAGTTTGGGAATTTCTGGGTTAAAGTTAAGTTGAAAATATAAATAGTTGGGTTTGTTTTGATAATATGCTTAGTGCGTCACTAAATGAGAAATACAGTATGTTCTGAGAGCATACACCATTCAAATGTATTTCGGTGATGCATCAATCCATTTTTGTAAATATTTCATGGTTTTCAAATTTTCTGTCTCACGATTTTACTGTAATTTATGTGATTAATAATCTTATAACTTTGTTTATAAAAGATACCATCTACTAAGTGATACAGTCTCAAAATTTATGCTCTCTGATTGTGGCCGGCTAATGTTCCATTAGAATACTGGTACTGAGATTAGGGCAATATCAGATTAATACTTTACTACATGTAATTTCTCATTTACCAATTACAGTGAACTCTTGAATTACGACCATCCTGACATATGAACAACTTCAGTTACAACTGGAATTTTAGTTTTAATTTATGACCAAAGTCTTGATTTATGACCAGCTTGTGCTTCCAGATGGTCTCAGATACAGATTTAACCCTTAGAGAGTTCTGGGAGAAACATTACAGCATCTTTTCCTGTATGGGGCTAATTGAAAAATCCTGGGTCAGTGTCTCTCCAAGGATACTGAGATCTGGCTGTACATAGAGAGACTTCAAAGGTTGTGTAGAGGGGGCTGAGCCTGTAGTTGACCAACTTGAGTTACAACCAGCCCTCACAAACTGAGTTCATAAGTCAATGGCCCACTGTAAATAGAGAAACAAACATAGCATAAAATATATTTAAAGATGAGAAGTTGACAGTATCATAATAACCATGGAGCTAATCTTAGAAATCGTTACCTTAGCTACAACTTTTAAGGCTTAGTCCAAGATTCTAAGTACCCACCAAGGAGTATTTAGGTAATATTAATAAATCCAGACTGAGAAAAGTTGCATTATTTCGAAGGATACCAGAAAGGAAGAAAAATAAAGCCTGCCCACAAGAAAACAAGTGCATTTATGAAAAGTTTCAGTATATACATATAAAAAGTTGATGATTGATATATAAAGGATTCAGCAGAGTCACCACTGTTATCATCAAATTCTTTATTAATCATTGACTCTGTAGGCATTTCAGCATCATGCTGAGGCAGGAAATAAGCCACAAAAAATGTCACATGTTATTTTCTCTTAGAGCTTCATCTGCAACAATGCCATGAAGGTTGAATATAAATTTTAAACTGTGTGTCTTCTAGATTTAAGTTTTTAAAACAAAACAATTTTGAATAGTGTAGAAGTTCAATAGCAAAGTTGAGTTATATGTCTTTTGTATCAGCTTGCGGTATGGCTATTTTTATTTTTAAAATTTCAGGAGGGTTATTATTTATTAGAAAAGCAGCTGGACTAATGGTTTTACCGCCAAATCCTATAATCAGAGAAGCAGGAACTAAGAGACTATATTTGTGAAGTGCTTGCACTGCAAAAATATAGGTAATAAGGGTTGAAATTAGTAATTAAGTATAGCACTTAACCTTCCATTATAGGGCTTTGTGGTAAGTGCTTTTATATGAAGGAATTCATCTTGTAATGGCACTATACCTTTAATGAAAAACACCTAAAGCATTGACCAGTAGTATTACCCTATAATTGTCTAGATGGCTTTCACAGAGAAACTAATTAATAGAGGTAGATTTTATGCTCTTTTGGAGAATATGAAATATTCTTAGAATCCAATCATTCACACTTTAGAATAAATATTGAATTTTCTGAATAGTGCACCTAGTTTCCATTATTTTTTGGTGCATAAAGCAAAGTAAAGAAGTAATGCTTGGTGCATAATCTGTTAAAGCTCTAGAATATAATGCATCATTAATTTCTTGTTTATCCCTAATTACAGTTATGCAGCAAAATTTTCTGTCTCAATAAAAATAGACCTCCTTTTCTCATAGCATTAATCCAAGAAGGCTAGCATCATCTTGCTTGCCGAGACTCAAGATTACTCCAGAAAAATTAGATTTACCTTTGGGGATAAAACTTTGAATTCACTTTCCTATCAGTGTCCCAAGAGATGTCCTTTAAATCTACACTGATCAAATAGTCATTTTATTGCCAAGTTAGCGCCACAGTAGAACTAATATTTAAAGAATGTCTGCTACATGAAAAGAATATACTAGGCTCACTATCTGTTTACAGAGATACTTTAAAGATGCTTAGGATTAAACATATAATATGTGGGAAATGCAGGAGTTATACTGTATTTTGCTAAAAAGAAGATATATAAAAAAAACAATCATAGACAAGAGATTCTAAGGAGAGACCATTTTGGAGTGAGTGTTACAGTAGGACCATAAAAAAGAATTACTTTAATTTGCATCTTTGCAAGCAAGCATTCTTTTACATGGAATTAGCAGGAAGATCCAGACACAGAAAATCGGGAGCTATGAATAGTTCACAGGGTGTGAGAGAACAAAGTGGATGAATGAAGTATAAGACATGTTGAAAATAAAAAAGGCGAGACACCCCTGCTTTTTACTTTCTCTCTGTTTTTCCTCCCTCTCCTCTCTCTTTCTTTCCTTTTACCATCAGTAAGACTAACGTGCTTCAGTGTGTCACCAGAAGGCATTACATATGAAAAGAACTAGAAACCTGTGGTAGGAACAAAGAGATAAATCGAAGACTGGGCTCTTGGTTGCTAACAAATTAGTCTGTTTGAGAGATAAGAGGAACTAAGAAAATCTACCAAGGTCAAATACACTTCAAAACTGGCAAAATGACTAGCATGGTGTTTAACTGCTATGGGAGTTTAAAGAAGGAAAGAACTGGTGTGACAAAGTAGATCCTGTAGGGATGAAGGGATTTGAAAGAAAAAAGTAGTACCAAGGAAGGCTTGATGGAGCTGACGTAAATACTTTTTGCGTGTCCACAGTTTGGCTGGGAGATCTTAGAAGTATTACTTCTAAATCTTAATTATTTTCATCAGTAATATATTTCAGAGTTCAGGAAACTCACATTGATTATTGATCTTTTAACTCTACACATTTACTTTGAATTAATTGATTATTTTTATACCAACTCATTAACAATTCATTGATTATCCATTTAAGCATTCTTTTTACTTAGAGTTTTCTATTTTGGTTCCCA